CGTCTATGCGATTTATAAAGGGACAGGTCACAATATAGAAAATCTACCTGTCATACCTGACCTGGTGAGTCTTTCACAAATAGGACAAAAGCAAACAGGCTGCTTTCAGCAAACCACAGACTGTTTCTCAGTAAAGAAAAGACAATCTCCCCAGTGCTGAAAAGTCCAGGGACTGTCTACACACCTGTGCAGAACAGAACAAAAGGGGTGCATTGGTATCCTTGAATTTCTTTTTTGTTTCCCCTTTAGGGGGTTTCATTTCTCTTTCATAAGGGGCCACGTCTGCCTTTGCCATGTCTTCAACTTTTCCTTCTTATTTAGCAGACGTGGTCTTCCACTGCTCTGAGCACTTCTTAGAAAACTCTGAGAAGTCCGTGAAAGTATCTTGTTACTTCTTCTTGTGCTCCCCCAGTAAGTTTCCACAAAAACTGCGTATGATGACATTTTGCTCCTTGACTTCTTAGGATCTCCTTTGCCCATGTTTACCTGTTTTTTCCTCAGTGAGGCTCAGTCATGCTGTGACTGTCCAGCTCTCGCTTGCTCTGTCGCTATCCTTGTGGAGCTCAATATCTTGCAGTGGCCCATACACATATCTTTGTGTTGCCTGGATCTTTGCCTCGCTAAATCAAAGAATGAAATCAAAGACTAAGGAAGTAGACAGGAGAAATGTTTATGAAGAAGAGAGAAACAGCTTCCAGTTGTCAGGAGGGGACCCAAAAGTGGGCTGCCACAGAGACTCTTTGTCAAAGAGTTTTTATACAAAAAAAGACCAGGGCTCAGGCCACTCTAAGTCAAACTAAGGTCAACCCATAGGTCTAAAACAAGTTTACTTAGAAGTAGAAATGGGCCTGTGAAGCGTTCAGGCACATAGCAAGCTTAGGTCTATAGGCGCCTCTTGGGCTCTCTTATCTAAGTGGTTCATTAAAAAGTGAGAAGAAAAAAAAATTTTCTAGATAGGTAGGAGCAAAAGTTGTCATACTGGCCATCCATCACCTTGCTTGTTACCTCACTTGCTACATCCTTTGGACTCAATTGTCCACCTGGTTCTTGCTAACTCTTGACCTCTTGCTAACTCTTGATCTCAGGCTCCTGTTAATCTGACCAAGTCCTGGTCATCTTGACTCTATTTTGGGTCTAGTGACTCTCTAGCTGTCTGTTACCTTCTGCCTAATTTCCCTAACTTGGATAATTATTTCCTTAGATCATATTCCCAGAAATAGAATTACTACATGTCTTAGTTCCTTGTTTCATGGCTGAGACAATATACCCAACAACCAAAGTAAAAGGAGGAAAGATTTATTTTGTCTCACAGTTCTTAGAGGATTCAATCCATAATCAGCTGGTTCCAACATGGAGTGGCATGGCAGAGGGCATCACAGGCTGAGCAGGAGGCAGCAGAAGACAAACAGCATCAGCAAGCAAATGCAGCAGCTCTTTTTCTGTGTTGCATCCAGGCTACTCACCCTTAGAGCAGGTAGCACTTACACCCAGGCTGGACACCCTTAATTCAAGTATCACATACCCTAGATCCAGCCACCTCCAGAAACCTCCACCTATGACTGCATGAGACTTTGGGAGGACATCTAGATACAAGACTACATTAAATAAAGTGTGTGGTCCTTTTAAACCTTGGCATGGAGTGACTTCCAAATTATTCTACAAAATATGTTCCAAATAGGAATTTATGATAATGAACATTTCTCCAAACTTATGCCACCCTGAATGTCATTTTTCATTATGATCTTTGCCTACTGTAAAAGCCAAAATATGTACTTAAACATTGCATTTTTTATTTGTAGTGTATGGGCTATTTCCACATATTTGTTCCTCATTTGCATTTTCCCTTTTATAACTTGCCCTTTATAGATCATTTTTATGATACTATCATCTCCATATAAATGTGTAAGAGATAATTAAATGAAGTCAATAAACCATTTCTTTCATATACTTAACAAATGTGTTTTCCCAGTGTACTTTTACTTGATTTTTTTTTGAGAGAGAGAGAGAGAGAGAGTAAGGTTTTAAATGTTTCTAGAACAAAATTTAGAATTCATTTCTTTTGTGGCTGCCACCTTTGGTCCCTACCAGAGATTAAATAGGAAAATTATATTTTTTCTACATACTTGATGGTTTGTTGTTAAAATGTTAAATCAAATCTATATGAAATTTGTATTATGGTGTGCATTCTGGGAAATGTAATCTTCCTATCCTGCCTCCCACCCTGTCTAGGTTAGTAACATGCTTTTTTGACTACCTTTTTCTCCTGCTCTGACCATCTCTTGCTTGGAAATTTCACCTTATCATATTCTTAATTGTTTTTCTTTCTTTTTCTTTTCTTTTGGTATCGGGGATCAAATTCACAGCGTTGCACTTGCAAGGCAGGCGCGGTGCCACTGAGCTAAATCCCTGGCCCCATACTCTAGATTCTTATGAACTCTTGGGTATGCACTGTTTTTCTAAGAAGCAGAGGCAAGCTTTATGTCTGATAGAAAATACCATTAATTCTTCAATTAAAATGTCCTGACCATTCTCTTAGGGGTTTTTGTCCTTCCAGATGAAACTTAGATGTATTCTGTTAAGTAAAACAAAAACAAAGGAGAAGACACACATCATTCAACTTACTGTGATTTTGGTTGGAAGTTTCATTTAAAAATAATGATTCTCAGGGCTGGGGATTTAGCTCAGTGGCACCTGCCTTTACAAGTAGTACAAGGACCCAAGTTCAATCCCCAGTATCCCCCCAAAAATAAAAAGACTCTTTCCATCTAGAAAACAGTGTCTCCCTATGTTACAGCTATGATGTCACACAGTAGAGTGTAATAGTTTGTGTGGTGAGAGTTATGCCCAATTCTTGTCAACTTAGTCGTAGATACTGAATGCTACTCTGAGTGGACCTTGTTATTGATAAGTTATCTTATTATCATTGACAGAAGTGAAACTACTGATGTAAAATTATATTAACTGCATATCATCAAAGTCAATATTATCCAAAAGTGGAATAAATGACATCACACATGTGAAACTGACCATATATTATTCACTGAGAATACAGCATCTCTTATGCAGCACCCTGCCAAGAAATGTGTAACCTGAATCTCAGTATGAGAAAACAATCAGATAAACTCAAATGAAGGAACATTCTTCAAAACAACAGAGGCCTTCTTTGAAATTATCAATGTCATCAAATACAGAAAAAGGTAGAGGAAATAGATTAAAGGATCAACTGGATGTAGTAAATGGTCCTGAATTGAATTCTGGATCAGGAAAAGATTTGTTATAAAGGATATTATTGGGAGAGTGGGTGAAATTTGAGCATAGTCCACTGCAACCACTAATTGTGCTATGTCGATTTAACTAGAGTAAGAAACCCTGAGCAGATTACTGGATCTCTAGTGTATCTGTTGATGATTGACACATGAGCCAGCAAACTGAGGCGGAAGACCTTGGCTGTGGGTGGTACCAACCAATAGGCTTGTACCCTGGGTGGAATTAAAAAGGGAAAGGAGAAGAAAGTTCATCAGTTTTGAAGAACTCTAGCCTTCTTGAGCAGGGATATTCTTTGCTGCCACTGCTTTTGGACATTGGTCTCCGCTTTCTTCAGCCTTCAAATACAGACTTGTGCCAGTAATTCTTCAATGAGCTTCCAGGCCCTTGACCTTGGAGAGGAATGCATCCTTGATCCCTCTTGTTCTGTGGCTTCCCTCTTGTTGGGCTGAGCACCTACTGGATTCTCTGACTCTCCAGCATCAGAGGCCATTGTGGATCCTGCCACCTCTGAGCTTGTATGCTTGTCTAACAAATTCTCTCACATGATTACACATATGTTTTCTGTTGATTTTGCCCCTCTAGAGAACCCTAACTAATACATCCAGTATTTTATAATAATAATATGTTAGTGTTCAATTTCTTGGATTTGATCATTGTGTGGTGGCTATTTAAAAAAAACTGAGCAGGGAATGGTGCCACATGCCTGTAGTCCCAGGAGTTCAAGACCAGCGCTGGCAGTACAATGAGATCCCATCTCAAATTAAGACAAAATTATGCCCATATTCTTAGGAGATATATGCTAAAGTTTTAGGAGGGTCAGTTCATATGTGCAACTTGTTCTCAAAGGAGGAAGAGGAAGAGGAATGACAGCACACATGGCAAAGTAGTCACAACTGGTGAATGCAAGTAAACAGTTTATAGATGTTCAGTCAGAATGAATCATTCCTGCAATTTTGCTGTAAATGTGTCAAGGTAAAACAGATAAAACTATTAATAACACGTTTAATGGAAAGACCAAAATAACACATTTAGCTTTTAGGGCCCCCTTTCAGTAAAAGTATCCTCTAACATTGACAGCGGGACATCAAGGAGGGGAGATCATGAACTCCTTCCTTTGTCATTTATGTGTAATTTCTGATTTATCTATACTTTTATCATATTACTTGGGAAATCTAGCTTTGTGTAGAGTAGTTGTTTGCATTTGGGAGAGAAGAGTTGCAGTTCATCGGTATTAATCTTTTACTATCTTGTTTAGCTTTTCTTTCCCCCCTGTTACTGAGGATTGAACCCAGAGCCTTCGCACTGAGCTACATCTTCATCCCATTTTTAAAATTTCTGAGACAGGGCTTGCTAAATTGCCCAGGCTGGCTCGAACTTGCAATCCTCCTGCCTCCGCTTCTCGCTATACCACCACTCCCAGCTTTATTTCATTGGAGCAGCTGACATATATCTTTCCTTTCTCTCTTTCTTAATGTTGTGCACCTGGCTGTAGGTAGAACCGAGTTCAAATCCCTAAGGGGTGGGCTCTAAGAAACCAGGGCTACAAACAAAAGTAGAACTGATTTTGGAACATAAATCACCCATTTTGCCAAATAAGAACTCTTCAGACATTCCCTGAGGCAGGGGACACAGAGACTCGTAGAAAACCGAGGCTGGAGTTTGATGGATTATCCCGGGAAAGGGCCTGGGAACTGTTGCCTCAAAGCTCCTTCCGCGCATGTGCAGCTCCTCTTCATTGTTCGACCGCGGCTCCTCTCTCCAGCCTCTCAATGGCAGACAATCCCGTCGCCTTCGCTTCTTTGCGTCGCTCAGTGACCCGGCTCTGAAGGAAGGGCGTGGTGTGCACTACAGGTGAGAACCTGTTGGGGAGGGGGGCGGTTTGCTTTTTCCGGTTTGGGGCAGGTTTGTGTTTACCGCTGGTAGAAGCAAAAACTTGAGTGTGTCCCACGGGATTGAGACCCTGAAACACTCGTTCCCCAGTCTGCTCTCCGTTTGCCGGTCTAGAGAGAGAGGGAGGTTCGCTGCGGATCGGCAGCCTCCGTTCTGTAAGGATGGGGGGTTTCTAGGTCGGTGTAAAGTGCATTGGGAAAAGGCATTCAAATGTCAAAAGAGTTGTTTACAGAAGCTCCTCGAATTTGCATGAGCCCAGCAGCGGTTCCCCAGAGAAAGGAATCCACCGGGCGGAGATGAGGGGGTGGGGTTATGCTGAGAATGAATTCTTAGGACGTGTGTTGTATGCCTGTAGACTGGAGGGCGAGGGTGCCTGTAGTATAAAAGGCTGATTTCACATTCCAGCTTTGCCACTGAATCCTCTTGAGCAAAACAAGCCTCTAAGCCTCTAAATTTTCCCCCTTGTAAAATGAAGTTGTTGCTAAAACCTGCCTCGGGCTTATTCTGAGCTCTTCGTGGGAGGGCACCTGTAAAGCCCTCCACAGAGTTTCTGGCATTTTCTCCGCACTTAGGAAGGTTACCTTCTTTCCTTGCCATTCTGTTCTTTATGTATCGGCCCTCATTTGGCTCTAATGACTCCTTGAAATTCGGTTTTACCAAGCCCATTTAACAGAGAGAAAACCCAGACACTGGGGAAGATGCTAGCACCAGGAGTTGGGTTGCAAACCTCCAACCATCTGACTTGCAGATCTTCTGCTGAGTTTCACCAGCAACTCACTGCCTTCAGTGCTCAGCAGGGGCACATCCTGAAGTGCCACAGGGAAGTACCTGAAGTGTGTGAAGACTTAGTTTTCCCTTGACAGTCCTGGGTTTTCTACCCTGAGGTTACTGCAGAAGTGAAGCTAATCTCTCTGCCTTCAGCAGCTACAGGTGCCCAAGCTGGATTTCTGCCTGTTTTTAGACTAGCGTGCATCAGAATCACCTGGAGAGTTTATGGAATCCCAAAGATGGCAGGAGCCCCACCCAGTTCCTGATCAGTAGGTCTGGAGAGGGCCCGGAAATGTACCTTTCCTACCTAGTTCCTGGGTGATCTTGTTGCTGGTCTGGAGACCTCACTGTGAGAACCGCCATTAATAGAGGACGCCATTAATAGAGGACGGTAAATTGCCAGAGAGGTGGGGACCAGCTGAGGCTTACAGTTATTTGAATTTATTTCCTCCTGCCAAGTTCAAATTTCCTTGGATCACATGGCTTTTATAAGGAAAGAATGAGGGGACCCAGAAGCAAGAATCCCACGTGGGGAAATCCCTACCCCACCTTGAACCTCAGCCTCAGGGCCTGGGATTAAGAAACCAGCCCAGACTCTATTTGTGTGCCCTGAAGCACTTTCCGATCCTCCTGCACTGAATAGCATCACCACAGCAGAGGGTGCCCAGCACTGGCAGTCAGCAAAGGTTGAGCCAATTTCCAAAGAAAGGAGGTGAGCTGGGCAGAGGGTGTGAGCAAGAGGCTGGCTGTGTGGGAAGAGAAAGTCCCAGGAAGGGATAGTGCAGAGTGACCAGATGGATGGACAAGATGCTGTCTCCTTCTCCCGGAAGCTCCTCCCACACCTTCAGGTCTCTCAGAGCTCTCCAAACATGCCCTCACATACACTGGACTTCTGCTACCCAATCCTGTTTTGGGGGCTTACATAATCGCGCCTCTCTTGAAAATTGAAAATGCCGTGCCTCAGAGAGTCATCAGCAAAGCCCTTCAGGCCATGGTTTCTGGAGCCAGACTGCCCATGTCCCAAGCCCAGCCACGGCATTCCCGTTCTTCCCCTCTATGTCCTCCTCATCTGTGAAATGAGAGTAACAGGAGAACCTTTGCTTTATTATAAGGGTTAAATGAAGTGATCTGTGTACTTACTACAAGGCCTGCTACATACCTCGCACCAACTCTATTATTCATTTCCCCAGATGCACTAACATATGCATAATGTTTTTTTTTATCAATATCCAGTATGTTAATAATAGAGTTGTGGGTATCTAATATTACAATCTGGGTTTGCATTATCCCTTCCGGGCCAAATTTAAGATCACTGAGGCCCCATGACTCTCAGTCATTGTCCACCGTGTCTCAGGTAACTCTTTCAACAACGAAAGTCCTTTGGAAAACCTAAAACCAGGAGGACACAACCCTTTAAAAAAATAATAAAAGAAAGGGCTGGGGATTTAGCTCAGCGGTTCGGTGGCCTGGTTTGCAAGCACAAGCACCTGAGTTCAATCCCCGGTAAAAAAAAAAAAAAAAGAAACGAAAAGAAAGACTCCATGTAAAGCACACCTATCTCTGTTGTCAGTGGTTTCTTTATATTCTTTAACACCAAGAGTTAAAAATATATGTGAAAAAGTAAATGAGCAGGTCTTGATAAGGTTTTTGTTGTTATATCGGTTTTTACATCTTCTGTTATGGAAACATTCAAACACATAAGGAAAATACTGGAATAACTCCTTGAAAACATTGTGACAAATCCTTGTCATGGCCTCAACAAATGAACAGTCACCCACTTATCCCCCAACACTCACGCGCTTCACCCCTATAATTTCTTTCTACCTTCCTTTACAGGGTTATTTTAAAGTAAATCCCAGATGTTTTTAAAAAATGCAGGCTATGGCACGTTCAATAACTGAAGGAATTTGTTGTAATGTTTGCTTTGTTTAGCCACATCTCGCTCAGTTGAACTTGGTGTTGTTTACACAGTATTTGTCGGCCATCAAATCAAGGAAGGTTTTAAGTTGTGAGAAAGCAATATTCACTTTCCCCGGTGAAATGCTTGCCTCCCTGAGCCCTGCATGGCTACGTGAAGGTTATAAGAGTTCCCTAACACATCCTTACCTGCTCCCTCCAAAGGGTCCCAGTGACACTCTCCCACCCTGTGTCTGTATGTCAGTGGATATGTGGATTTCCTGTAAGCACTACTATGAGGACCTTCCAGGTAGCCTGTATTTCTCATTGTTCCTTCACTTCTTCCCTCTCCTCTGCCTTCACAGCTCTCTATGCTTTTTCAGAGGCAGAAGAGAATGAACATATCCCAGGTGAGTTGTTTACCTCTTACCCCAGGTATGCAGCAAATTGTAAGACTAACTTTGCATTTTTGTTGACCAACCTTCCTTGTCGGTTGTTTTTCATCATTTGTTAATTTCCTGACCTTTCCCCTGCAGTTTACTTAACTTACCTTTTTCTTCATCCAGTGAATGAAGTCTGCATTTTATTTTTACTCTATTATTCCTTTCCCCAGAGGCACTAACATATGCATAACATACTTTTCTATCAATATCCAGTATATTTTTCATCCAAAGTATCACCTAAACAAGATGCGTTCTTCCTACATCTTAGGTTTTGTGAAAACCATTTAATATTTTTGACTTTTTTCTTTGTATGTAATATGTATTATTTTATGTAATAAGTCACAAACAATATTATTAACCTTTGTTAACCATCACATCTTCTAGCTACTTGAACAATAATCATTGAAATGTGAATGTACATTTTCTAGTGCTGTTTGCCATCCCAAATTGGAAGATAGTAATAAAATTATAATCATTGGTCAGCTATAATATTATCTATAATTGAGAGTTGCATTATTACGTTCTAGCCACTGTTAAATTCCTACCTGGATTAGCTCATATTTTTCTGATAGCATTAATGGGTAGGTACTTTTATTACACCCTTTTTTTCTAAGGGCTGCAAAGATTTAAGTAATTCTCAAAAGCTTGGGGCTGAAATAAGAAGGATACATCATGAGAGGTTTGGCCAGATGGAGAGCTCATCAAGGTAAAGTTCACCACAGGTTTTCCACCCATTTTTGAGAATACATTTTCATCTGTTCATGTTCCAACCTGCCCAAGAGCTTGGAAGGGAAGTTCACTTAGGAACAGGCTTGCCAGATAAGACATAGGGTACAGAAGGCATGGGACATACTTATTTGATAACTGTTATAAAGAATCCACTTGTCAAAAAAAAAAAAAACAGGCTCTTTGTTGTCAGAAAAAAAGAAGTTTATTCCAGTGAACAGGGACTATAAATCAGGAGATTTTAGCAGCTAGCTGGGAAACCTGAGTTTATCACATCCATGTGTGGATGGGCTGATATTGGGAGAGATTTCAACGGTGAGTGGGTGGGCTAACACCAGGAGAGAGATATCAGCAACTAACTGGGAAAGGGATTAGGCTTATATAGGTATGGAAGGGGTATGTTCATGACTTGGATGCCCAAGGACGGTCTGCTGAGGTGTGTACACAGTCACTGGGCCTCTCAGCGCCAGGGGGGGTTGTGTACTACACTTGAGTCCATTCTCTATTTACTAGGAAGCTGCTGTGTTTGCTGAAAGCAGCCTGTTTGCTTTTTCCTGTTTGTTTGTGAAGGACTCACTTGAGTCAGGCCTGACAATAACTTATTTGCTGTCTCTCTGAAATTCAAGTGAAAGTAGCTTGCTTGTATTTTTATTAGTAACTGTGGCAAGCCTTGCTTAGGTGGAAAAGAGGTTTGCAGTGCCTCTGTTGACCATGAAGGCTGGCAGTCCCAACTCATCTGGAGGAGCAGATGTCCTTTGTTTTCAGTAGCTGATTACCTGACCTCATTCCAGGAGTTTGGAGGTGAATTGCCTGCTTCAGCTTCCCCGTCAGTCACTGCAGCAGGCTCTCCTTCTGGAGTTTTAGGAATTCTCAGGCTTGGTGCCTAACATGTAGGTTTTGTTTGAAAATGCAAACACTTTACCTGCACACCCTGTAAACAGCAGTCCTCACGGTCTGTTCACCATGATCGTCATTTGCCGTGTTTTTTCCTCCCTGGGATCCTGCTAAATTTAGATGGGCCTGTGGAGCCCTGCACAGATTGGCGGTGCCTCACCTGCCCCCTGAGTCTGCGTTTCTGAAACCACCTTCATCCTGCTCTGTCTTGTGAATGAGTGATCGGGTCGAAATCTTTCTCCTCAGAATACTATGAGAAAAAACAATGTGCAGCATCTCCCAGCATTTGGATAGACCAAGAGGTGGCATGGCAGTTTGGTCTTCATGCCTTTGTAGATAACCCGATTTTCCTCTTCTCCGTCCTCCTCTTCCTCGTGCTCTTCCTCCTCCACTTTCTCCTCCTCCTTCTTTGAGTGTCCGATCTCTCACCACACGGTGTCTGCTTATTCTTTTTTTTCAGTGTCCTGCTTGGTAATGGAATGTGTCCTAATAAGATGAAGACTCACGTGCTCAGAGATGTTTTTAGTTATTTCTGCGTTTATCGCTTGCTCACCTTCCCCTTTGTCCTCACCACCTAGAAATCCTACTGGAGACTCTCCTTAGTCCTCTTTCTGCGTGCCTTGGTTTTTTATTGCCGTTTCTCTGTGGTTTTGTCCTGTGCTCTGTGCCCATTTTGTTTCCAGGATTTCTCTGGTGGTTGTTTTGTTTCTCTAAATCAGTAACAAAAAATGTAATATCTGTATGCTTTTCCTTACTCAGACTCTTCTTATTTGTGAAAGTAAGAGTCATTCTGGAGGCAGAGGAAATAGCTGTATATAAAGTGCCCAACTCATTGTGTTGACCTGGAGTGTCCCTTACTTTTAACTTGTTGCTTGTGAGTCCTGCATCTCTCACACACCAGCTAGCTGCTCATTGAGCACCACTGTGGGCTGGGACTGTGCTTGATGCTGCAGACACAGCTGCCAGCTCCCAGTTTTGCTTCCTTCTGTGCCTCCAGGGCCTGCTCCTCTTCCTCTGTTGGCCCCTAGGCCTGGTAGCTTCAATAGCCATGCTCTTTATGACCAAGTTCCCTCTCTTGTGGCTTCAGCTACCGCTGAGCTATACCTGATTCCAAAAATGTATGTATCTTTATCCTCTTGATCCTAGGCCTTTTCTGAGATCTAAGAACTTATATCCAGCTGTTACCTGGACATCTTCCACTCATTTCACAGATACCTTAAGTATAATATGCCCAAGAGTCAGTCAGTCTGTCTGTCTGTCTGTCTCTCTCTCTCCCCCCGTCCCTCCTCCATGAATTATTTTACATGTTTTGTCCATCTCAGTACAGAATGTGGCACTAGTATCAAGCCTGCTGTTTTGTAGACAGCCTGAGAGTAATGCTTCATCTTCCTTCACTGTGTAATCAACTGCTGGATAATTCCATGTAGAGTTACTTCTTGCTCCAGCTTCTCAGTTCCCTCTGCTACTACATGGGCAAGTGGTCACCCCTCCCACCAGTCTATTATTATCCTCTCTGACTTCTTCTTAAAACAGCTTCCTCGACTTGGCCCTTGACATTTGGGTCCAGGTAATTCTTTGTTGTGGAGGTAACCTGTACAGTGCAGTTTATTTAGCAGCATCTCTAGCCTCTGCTCACTAGATGCCAGTAGCAGCTCTGCCTCCCTCAGTCGTGATAACTAAAAATGTTTCCAACAGTGCCAAATACCCTTGGTGAGTCAAAATAACCTCTGGTTAAGAATCAATTCTAGGGCTGAGGGTTTAGATCAGTGGTTCTGTCACCTGCCTTGCAAGCACAAGGACCCCAGTTTGAGCCCCAGTACCAAAAAAAGAAAAAAAAATAGAATCAATTATTTAAAACATTCTGCAATCTGCTTCTAGAACATGACTTGCAAAATATAAGTCTAGTCGTGTTATCTATCCCTTTATCCCCATTGTCTATAAAAGGGCTCTTCCAAGAAGGAATGTGCTTCCCCAGGGTAGTTCATAGGGCAGTCAATGGGTGCTTGGTGTTAGAATGCTGTTACATGTATTTTTATTTTTTAAAAATTTAAGAAAGTTGTTAAACTGTGATTTGGGCGAATGGCTTCCAAGTTGTCTGCATATAGAATGTATAGACGTAATGAGAGATGCTAGGGAAGATTTACTAATGGATGAACAAGTTCTATAGAGGTCCCTGGTCTGTAGGGAAAAGTCCAAATGTCACTCTTTGAGCACTGAATCCTTCATGGCTCCTTATCTCATCCAATCCCCAAACTCCCTCTTCTCTCACACCACACCCCTAGGAACTGCTTTAATGTAAGGCATTACTTTAATGTTGCCCACGCTTTTTGTTTATGCTGTTGCCCCATGGCCATATCAAACTCACTGTTCGTGTGCAATCAAATGTTTAACTCGATCAAATATGACCTGAAAGAAGGGGAATATTTGCTTTCCTTCTTCCTATGGTTTAGATTTAAAATGCCCTCCAAAAGTCTCATGTGTTTGGAGGCAGGGCTTTTGGAAGGCAGTTGAACTGTGGGAGCGCTGTAGTCAGCTGTGCATTAGTGTAATCATGAGTTCACGGCCGAAGGTACCATCAGAAGGCGGGGTCTGGTAGGAGGTGGGTCACTGGGGATGTGACCTGGAAGGGTGTATTCATGTCCCAGCTCCTACCTTCTCTCTCTGCTTCCTGGCTGCCATGTGTTGTGCAGGTTTCCTTCACCACACCCTTCCACTCTGTTTCTTCCTTGAAGCCAGCTGACCATGGATTAAACCCCTGAACCGTGAGCCAATTAAACCTCTGCTTCTTTAGGTTGTGGGTGTCCGTTATTGTGTCTCAGTGACATGAAAGCTAATACAGGGGGCTAGGGATATAGCTCAGTGGTACTGTGCTTGCCTTGCAAGCACAAGGTCCTGAGTTTGATCCCCAGTACTATGAAAGAAAGAAAGAAAAAAGAAAGAAAGAAAGAAAGAAAAAACAAATACACTCCACCTTTGTGGCTTCACTCTGTCTTGAGCACACATTTTTTCATCGCTCCCTTAATTCACGGTTGCACATATATGAGTAAATAGAAAGTATACTCATCAGGCTATAAAATTCCTAAAAATAGGACCAATATCTTATTTGCTTTAGTGTTCTCTGTAGCCAGAACAAATCCACAAGAAGCTCAAATTTTTATTAACCAATCAATGAATTTATAAATAAACATAGAGGTCTATTATTTCCATTGATTTCTGTTTCTCTCACAAAGGATAACTTGAAGGAAGGTAGTGTTAGCCTTTGTAACACTGGTAAACTCTTAACAGAGTACATGGTGGGATTTAGTTTCTATGTGTATTTCCCATGACCTTTGTCTGGAGCACTTTTGATTGAGCAGGATTGGACTTTTGCAGGGGTCGGTGTCATTTGAGGATGTGTCTGTGGCCTTCACCCAGAAGGAGTGGCAGCTGCTGGACCCCAGCCAGAGGCGCCTGTACAGGGACATGATGCTGGAGAACTATGGGCACCTAGAAGCACTGGGTAAGCCCAGCTACCCACTCAGTTCTGGTTGTGTGCATTTCCAATCTTGGAAGGTAGATTATTACAGAGAGTGATACGTTTTATGCTTGATATTTTTGGTTAAGACTCCTTTAGTGCACTTGATAGCATATTGTATTCTTACTTCCCTGATGAAGTACTCTTTCGCCCATGCCCATTCCCCTAGGCAGAGGACTTAGCCCCTGGCCCAAGCATTAACCAGGTTGACCAGAAGTCCTCATGTCCAGGCAAGGGACTTGGCCACTGGCTTTGATGGAACATAGTTGTAACGCTGTCATTATATTCTTCTCCCTTTTTGTCCTTCAAAAGATCCAAACCCTAAATGCTTTTGCCACGTCTCCTGTCCTTTTCATAACAGGCCTGTGTGTCACGAAACCTGAGCTGATATGCAGGTTGGAACAAGGAGAAGAACCATGGATACTAAAGAGGGAAATGCAAAGTTACAGCCACTGGGGTGAGTTAAGGTCAAATAGAAGCTGAGAGAAATAGGTCCCAGCTGACCAGTTCAGAATTTAATATCTTTGAAATATGTTTTATAAATCTCTACTTTCAGAAGTGAGTGAATCTCTTTCAGAGCCTGTATACTTTCAGAAGTGAGTGAAGAGATGATCATATACCTTAGATATCACACCTCCCGATGTCACTGTCGTGTACAAATGTTCTTTGCTTTCTGTTTGACTTTTAGAGAGAGTCGCTTGATTTTATAGAATTCAGTGACTACCTTCTCCACCCTATACCTTTGTTTCTGTTTTTCTCTGTGTTCAACAGTGGCCACCGCCCATCTTTCCTCCTGTGCCAAAAGCTTCATAAACAGGCATTTATTCTATGAATATTTGCTAAGTTCCCGCTACGTATCAGTCATATCCGAAGAATGGGGGATACAGAAGCAAAATTTCTACTCCTATCAGAGGTCCAATTAGCAAATAAATAATAGGTCAGGTAGTCAGCACTGTGAAAAATTAAAATCAGATAAAATGCAGGGGATAAGTACTTAGGAAGGAAGGTTGGGATGGCTTTCTTAAGGAGCAGGAACATCAGGACAGTGTTTTGAATGAAGAAATGGAGTGATCCACGGGCTATTGGAGAGATTCGCGGACCACAGGAACAGCAGGTGCCAAGCCTCGGAGACCTGTGTGTGCTTGGTAATGAGACAGCAGCAAAGAAGTCAGTGGGACCAAAGGAAGTTGAGGAGGAAGAAGCAGATAATGTCAGAGTTTGTGGGGAGAGAAAATGTGTAGGTGTGATGAAGAATTTCAATTTCCCCGAGTGAAATAGAAGGTAAAAGAATAGCTCAAGGATGGCACCTTAAGTGCTGAATTTGGAGGCCAGAAAGACACAGGGGTCTAGCAAGGAAGACGAAGATGGACCAGCCATACAGGGTCACAGGAGTGGATTCTAGTGCAGATACAGAAATGTATAGTCACATTACTCTTTCTTTTCCTACCCATTGTCCAGAAGCCACAAGATGAATGAAAACAAAATGCCCACTGCATTTTCATTGGAGGTTGGAGAAAATTTCAAAATAAAAAAGATCCAAGATAGAAAAGCTGCCAAAACTATGAAAATCAGACTTGCTTATAAAAGAAGTAGAGAAAAACATGCAAATCGGTGCACTGTAAAATAGTGTTTGAATATATAATACAGACAGTATTTTACTTATAAATTTTGCTACAAATGGAACTTTAAGTGATGAGAATATTTTATTTAAACCGCAGAACAGTGGTTCTGAGAAGGGCTGAGGGCATATGAACTAAGTAAGTGAAACACATGAAGGGTAGGTTTTGATAGAAAGAAACAATTTATGGAATTAATTGATACCCACGTCTGATAAGACTTGACAATATCATAGATTTTTGGGGTGATTATTCCAATGTATGTTGTGATTTTAGGTATAAGAATCTAGTATAAAATCTCAGCATGAATATCTGATGTCGCATTCTCTTTACTAGAATATGCATTGACTTTTATTTGTTTTATCATATATTTTAAAACATACAGTTGATGTTATTACATAAAATATAACAGAAGATAACAGTAATTATCCATAGGGTTAGAAATGTGGCTTAGTGATAGACTGCTTGCCTAGCACTTGCAAGGGCTTGAGTTTGACCCCCAGCACTGTGAAAAGAACCACCTATACTCAAAATTATTTACAACAAATAAAGGTTAATAAAGGTCCTCAGGCCACATCGAGTGGCCTAGTGCTTGAATTACCACAAGAAAGAGAGAAGCAAGAAAATAATAAAACATAATATAAAAACAGCATTAAAGTTAGGAGTTGAAAAATTATGCCCATACAAAGCCTGCACACAGATAGATAGATAGATTGATTGATAACTTGATTCATAAGTGCCAAAACTTGTAAACAACCAAGATGTCCTTAAGTAGATGAATGGATAAATAAATAAACATGGTACATTCAGAAAGTGGAAATGTGCAGCACTAGAAAGGCGCAAGCTATCAAGCCATAAAATCACATGGAAAAACCTGAAATGTGTATTGCTAAGTGAAAGGGCTAGTCTGAAAAGGCTATATTACCATATAATTTCAACTGTATAACAGGAAAAACTATAATAAAAAGATCAGTAAAAACAAAAACAAAAACAACAAAAAAAAAGAGATCAGTGATTACTAAGAGCTGGGGCAGGGCGAGGGCGGAGGGAGAGAAGGGTACATAAGCAGAGCGATGAGTATTTTTAGGACCAGGACACTGTTCAGCGTGCTGCTGTAATGGTGGACACAAGTCATTGTGCATTTGTCTAAACCCACAGAATGTACAACTTAAGACTGAACCCAAATGTGAGCTCTAAACTGTGGGTGATGATAATGTGCTAATATGAGTTTGATTGTAAGAAAATGTACATGCTACTCTTGTGGAACATGTTGATAGTTGGGGAGGTGCATATACGGGGGTACATAGGGACCCTGTACTTTCCGCTTCATTTTACCATTAACCTAGAGCTGCTTTTAAAAAATAAAAAATAAAATCAATTTTTGAAAGTCAGTATGGAGACAGGGCACCACCATTTGGTAGAGAAAACTAGGAGATAAAGAATGAAAATTAAGATTGCCATTGGGACAGATTACTATTGATGATCTCTGCTAGTATCAAATGATAGCACCGAGAGTCAAAATATGAAGTGAATTTAATCCTATTACACATGTAGCTTTTAGATTTAATGTTCTCATTGGACACTCTCTTCCCTTACCGGAGCTGTATGGGGACATGGAGTCTGAATGATAGAACTGAACTTTATAGACCCAAGTTAATAAGTGATTTTACAACTTTAACTTGGGGTTGGTATGCAGAATGGAAAAGAGAAAGATCGGAAGCATTTAGAAGAGAGAAAGGATCGATCCTACTGATAAAGGTCTGGAGAGATAAGGATTTAGTTAGTCTCTGATCTGCCTCCAGATCTAGTCCTCACTGATACTCCCCTTAAGCACCTTTCAGCCCTCTTTGTTTTCCTCCTCGTTTTTCCTCATTCTTTTAATATCCTCTGTCCTTGGACCAATTATTTTCCTGACATTCTTTTTTCCTAGTCATCATTCTTGTGCTATATTTCAAGCTCCCTCCCTACTTTGAAGTCATGTTTGTAACAAAACAAAGCTACTTATGTTCATTTTTGGCTTTCTCTCCCTATTTGTACAATAGTTTGGTTTTTTTTCCCCCCTTTGTTTTCATGTTCCTCAAACAAAAGACTAAAAAGAAATACTTGCTTAGGACTCCTTTAATCCCAGGTGACTGTGCCTGAAAATCCACAATCAATGCAGCATGGAGACTTGTGTACACCCTTTCCTTTTATAATATGTGGTAAAATTTTATTTTTCTAGAAGCCCAGAGAGCCAGTAACATGAAAAAAAGTGAAGAAAATGAAGACAAATATTTGGTAAAAGCTTTATTCATCAAAAATAAAACAGTAACTAAGGACAGAAGAAGTAAGACCTTAAAAGAAATGGTTGATTTGGCCACAGACCCCATCCCCTCAAGAAAAGGATCCCATAAATGTGACTCATTTGGAGCAAGCTTAAAAAGTGTTTCAGAATTAATTATTAATAATAGAAACCATATAAGGAAAATGGCTGATGATTTCAACGGATGTGAATCTCTTGACTGTAAACATGGAAACACTCATATAAGGAGTAAAGCGTGTGAAAATGATCAAAAAGATAAATCTCATCATCCTAATGACTTCATTCAATATCAAAAAAAATTGTCTTTGGGACAGCTTCTTGAATATAATAATTGTGGGAAGGCCTTTCACAGGAAGATAGTCTTTGCTACACATGAGAGAGCTCTCACAAGAGAGAAACCCTCTGAAGGCAATGAATGTAGACGAGCCTTCATCAGAAAGTTAAAGCTTACTTCTTGTCCAAGAACGCTTGGGGAAAGGAAGCCCCAGGAGTCCAGTAAAAGTGGGAAACCCTCACTTGGGAAGTCAAAACAAGTTCATCAAAATGTTAACATAGGGGAGAAACACTATGAAAATAATATATTTGGGAAATCCTTGAGCAAGAGATCAAACCTTACCCAACATCAGAGAATTTTCCCAGGAGAAAAATCTGGTAAGTGTAGAAAAAATGATAAATCCTTAATGAAGTTGTACCACATTGAAACTGAGAGAACCCACGCAAGAGAAAAGATCTATGACTGTAAACAAGTGGGGAAATCCTTTCATGAAAAGTCATATCTCACTCAACATCGGAGAACTCCCGCAACAGAACCTAGCAAGGATGGTGATAGGGAAGGGGCCTTGAGTCAGAAAATTAACACAAGAGAGAAAAACTCTAAAAGGAATACAGGTGAGAAAACCTTTCTCAGGAAGTCAAAATGTACTCAGCAACAGTGGACAAACTCAGGGAAAAGTCATAATGAGGGTGAGGGAAGTGGGAAGGCCTCAAGTAAGAAGTCACACTTCATTGGAAATCAGAATACTCACAAAGAAGAGAGAGCCTATGACTGTCATAAATGCGGAGAATGCTTCTGTAGGAAAACAGACCTTATGCAGCACCAGAGCATGCACAAAGGGAAGAAGCGCTATCAGTGCAATGAATGTGAGAAGTCCTTCTTTGTGAAGTCCAACCTCACAGAACATCAGAGAACTCACACAGGAGAAAAGCCATATGAATGTAATGAATGTGGGAAGTCCTTCTGCCAGAAATCAGCCCTCACAGTACATCAGAGAACTCACACAGGTGAGAAACCATATAAATGCAATGAATGTGGGAAAACCTTCTGTGTGAAATCAAACCTTACTCAACATCAAAGGACCCACACAGGAGAGAAACCCTATAAATGTAACGAATGCTGGAGATCTTTCTGTGTGAAATCTAACCTTGTGGTGCACCAGAGGACTCATACAGGAGAAAAACCCTACAAATGTCCTGAGTGTGGGAAAACCTTCTATGAAAAGTCAGCCCTCACAAAACATCAGAGAATCCACACAGGAGAAAAACCCTATGAATGTAGTGAATGTAAAAAAACCTTCAGCCAGAGGTCAGCTCTCACCAAACATCAACGAAAAACACACAAGAAGAAAACTCCCATCAACACTGCATACATACAGAAGCCTGTACCAACAGACCAAACTCAGTGAACACTGACAATCAGAGAAACCTAAATGTCAACACAAATAGCAAAGTCTTCACTAAAGGTTTTAACTAATAGGAGCTAGGGAACTAATACAGGAATGAAAATGTGGAATGCTTTAAACGTGAATGCTTTCAACAAGTGTTTGAAGTTGTTGAGGGAAATGTATAATTTTAAAGAATATGAATAAAATGTTCTTGTGGAAATATTGTTTAACTAGAAGTTATTTCAGATGTGATGCCAAATATTACAGAGAAAATGATTGAAAATTTGTTCATAGAAAATGAAATGTGGACCTTTTGTAAAAGTATGAATAATTTAAGCCATTGGTACAGCTGCATTTAATAGAGTCATTTTGGCCTAATAAAATTTTGCCTAAATTTTAAAAAATAATAAAATGAAAACTGGCCAATGTATAAAAAAGCAAAAAATAAAAGTGAAAAAAATGCAAGTTACAGTAACCTAAACAAGTAAAAATGGAAAGAAAACAATAGTAAAAGTCATTGTGAAAAAAGTTGAATTCCCACATCAAAGGCAGAGGTAGTTCAATAGTGAATTGAATTTTTAAAAATCTAAATCTAAGTGTAGTTGCAAAACAAAATATATCTAAGATCAGTTGACTAATTTGAAAATTAAGGAATGACAAAAATATATATCTTTTTCAAAACATAGTCATCTGTTAAAGTATGACCACATAAAGGTAAATCTTGTGATTATGTTGTTATTACAACTTACATGAAAGTACCATTTAGGGGGAAGATGGATGTTAAAAACCCTAGGTGAATTTGGCACACGGCGACTATGACAGAGTGTATTAATTGTCCTCCAGTAAGCATGACCCTCTTCTTTGAATAATGGATCTCCCTGCTCAATGTTAGGGTGGATAGCCATCCAATTAAACTCTATATTTCTTATCTGACTTTGCCACCAGATGGTGTCTACCTGTCCACTGTAACTCATAGGTTATGGGCAGAATGTGCACATTTATTTCCAGTAGATTTATTGAGAATGTACCCTCCTTTGGATAACACCAAAAAAAAAAAAAAAACCCTTAAGGCCACCAAATATGCAATAACAGAGGATTGGCTAAGTAAATTATGGTGCATCCAAAGGACAGAATGCCTTACTATCCATTAATAGTAGATAACTCTGGCAGAGTGTAGCTCTGTGCCAGGCACTTTTCTAAGAAATACATACATGTTAAACTTTTATTTAATCCTCACAACAACCTATTAAGTACGTGCTGTTATTCCCATTTTACAGATGGGGTAACCAAAGCACAAAGGTTAATTTGCCCAAGTCCTACAGCAGGAAAAACAGGGTGCCAGGATTTGAGTCTAGGCAATTTGGCTCCAGAGCCTCTGCTCATAACCATTAGCATCTTCTTTTTTTTTTTTTTTTTTTTTTTAACGCAACAAC